GGGTGTGTTTTTTTTTTTTTTTTTTTTTTTTTTTTTTTTTTTTTTTATTTTACGCGTAACATAGATATATAATTAAGATTGTATTCATTTTGAACCTAGTGATTCTAGATTCTAGATCCTCCTTTGGTCTACATATAATTTTCCATATATTCATAATTCATGCATTCACGATCTCCTTAGAAACACTTACATTCACGAAACCATGAAATTATTCTTGATTTTTACCTTTAAAATGGCAAAAATTATATGGAACGGAGTGCAGCTGAGGAGTTCATTCGAAGTGAATTCTTAGCTTTTTTTCTTGATTCTTTCTAGATTCAACGACTAACCACAAAATCACAAAGAAAATAGATTCAGTAGTCCGATACCTTGTATAAAACTCATGTGTGTAAGAAATATTCGATCGCATAGAATGTACGAATGGGTTGATTAACAATTCACAGATGAAAAAATGACAAAAAAGAAAGCATTCACTCCTCTTTTCTATCTTGCTTAAATCCATTACACTTTTGAAATATGATTAAAGAAACTCGATTTAGTTGAACCAGTTGATTATGTCCTCTATCTGCCACTGAAATTAGCAGATTATTTCCAGCTAAGTGATGTGTTGGTCTAACCAAACTTGTTGTGTCTAAGTAATTGATGCCAAACATCATGATTTTTTTTCATGTGATTTTCCAAAATCCACTAGACTTGTTACAAACATGGCATTCTGATGGCTAGCTACAACTTCTTTGTTGTCGGGTAATTAATTCCATTAGTTCGATATTAGGATGTTGGTTCTTTCACTGGATAATTCTTGCATTAAACAGGGGTCTAATTCTTGAAATTATTGCAGAATGGGATGTGGGAAATGGGATGAGGGGAAGATGGAAGCATACACCATGATTGCTGCTATTTATAGCTCAACGGTTCACCTTTGAATGTGACTATTTGTTAAATTTTATTCGAAGTTAGTTTGTAAATGTAACATGTTAAATTGTACCGCGATTTAATAATAACGTATATAATCATATAAGTTAATAATAATTGAAAAATGCTGGTGTATCCGTGGGCGGATTTAAGGGTGGGAGGGGGTTCATCCGAATCTCTTCGCGAAAAAATTACACTATATATATAATGCAAAATATGTGTTTTACCTCTATATATTATGTTTTGAATCCCCTTGACACAACGCAAAATCATAGTTTAGTGGTTAAGGGGGTTCAAAACGTTTGTGAGGCTAGTGACTCAATTCCCACTAATCATAATTTGTTTTAATTTTTTTAACTTTTTTCTTTTTTAAACCCCTTTAGCAAAATTCCTGCCACCGCCGCTAGTGTATCCATTTTCATGGACGGCGATACTGATAAAGTTAGACAATCAAGGGATGAAACTCCACTCCCAACAAATGTTATTAGATGTGAAAATGCTGCTGCTCCATAAAGTTACATACTGTAGCATTTCATTTCATATAATTTCGATGTTATAATAACAACATACTCAGTGTAATCTCATAAGTGAGTCTGAGAAAGGTAGTGTACGCAGACCTTACGCCTAACTTGTGAAGGTACATTTAACCTTTTTTTGGTAACTATAATATATTTTTATTACAACGAAAATTTTTATAAGTATATCAATAACAATATAACTTTAAACTTACTATTTTACCTTTAATGTGATGATGATACAGAAATTTCTAATGTTTGTTTTAGACCAAAAGCCTTAAACTCGTATTCAAATATCATTACATAAATTGGGACGGAGTAAGGAGTATGTATAAACTTAAGGGTAAACATCTCAACATTATTAGCCTATGATATAGCTGCAAAATGAATTAGGGTTTACATCTGTTTACTCGAGAGTTTTGGCAATAAAAAATTGGAAAGTAAGAATCCCACACCGGAAAATGAAGAAAGATGTGGCTGATGTGGCTAGAATAAAGAGTTGAGGTGGTGAAATGTAAAAAAACATGATCCTTCAGGCAAGTTTAAAGGGGATATGATGAGTGGTCAATGCTCGCATTTAAATATGCGAGAAGGGCGTCCAGCTCAGCCTGTTACGACAATTTGGGCGCTCTCATTTTACCAATCTGATCCCTATTCTTTAATCAAACTACCCGTTTCCCCCCTTAAGTTTAAAGTTTTTATGTTTAGCCATCTTTTCTTTGCTTGTTTTATTACTTTTTCTTTCTTTTTCTTTTAGTTCTTTGTGCTTCTTCCAAAATTTTGCCTTTTCTTATTTTGAACCTTAATTTATTAATTTTATTATTTACTTTGATAACAAGTTTGGGAGTTAAAATTTTCTAATACTTTGAAATAGAATTTAATTAAAAAATTACATAAAATATAATATTACTTGTGCACAATAATAAAATCTATGAATTTAAATTGACTTTTGAAGTTCCAACTGCTTTACATAAATTTTGATGGAATATATAGGTTTTATATCTTGTGGCATGAATTTGAGAAGTTAGACATTCAATTCGAAAGAGAGGGATGGCTATTAGATAGAAATCTGAGCCTAATTTTCAACTTGAGGCAGAAAATAAACAAGTGTGCATAGCATCAATGTAATCTTTATGTTGATAAGCAAGGAAAAATTGGATTATGCTTATGCGACGTGCCACAATATTGATTTTGTAATTGTACACGTTAAAACTCAGAAAATTATTGGATTTGATTCGATATAATATTGGATAAAAAAGTGACTACTTAAACATAAATAGGGTTTTTCATCAATTATATGTGGAATAAATAGGTCTATATCTTGTGGCATGAATTTGAGAAGTTAGGCATTCAGTTCGAAACAAAAGAATATCTATTAGAAATTTGCGCCTAATTTTCAACTTGAGGCAGAAAATAAACAAGCATGCATACCATCAATGTAAACGCAATCTTCCTATTGATAAAAAGGGGCAAATTGGATTATGCGACGTGCGCAACCACAATATTGATTTTGTGAACATAAACGGGGTTTTCGATCAATTATATGTGGAACACATAGGTCTATATCTTATGGCATGAATTTGAGAAGTTAGGCATTCAATTAGAAACTGAGGAATGACTATTAGAAAACTGCGCCTAACGTTCAACATAGGGCAAGAAATAAATAAGCGTGCATATCATCAATGGAAAACACGACATAATATACAATTTGAGGCAGAAATTAAACTCTAAGCATGCATACGATCAATAGAATCAAGCAAGCTATTAATAATCACCGAACAATCTATGGATTTAAGAACTCAAGGGTCAGTGGGAAAGCACATATAGTATGACGTCTCAATTCAAAAAAATGAGTAGATTATCATCCGCACTGGTTGAAAAATAATAAATAAATTAACAGCTGATATATAGAGATCCAGTTCTCTTCATTTAAGAAAAATAAATTAATTAATACTCCACTCGGTCCACATTAATTAATTTTTTGATTATTTTCACACGTTAAGGAATCCACCTTTTAATATTAATTAACAATAAAATTGACCATAGTACCCTTAATTTGGCATTGGAAATATAACAAGTACTCCTAGACTTTTTACTCCAAGGGCAACTTTAAAAAAAAAAAATTAATTCATTCTTGATATCTTAAAAAAATCAAATATTATGGACTATAAAAAAAATTAAAAATCAATTAAAGTGGATCGAATGGAGCAGCTGATACATAACGATCGATTCAAAATTTAATTACATACACTACTTTTTTTTAATTATTCAGTATTTAAAATTTAGTGATCCAATTAATTCAGATTTGTGCAGAATAAGCGCATTAAACTTGTATCGAAATTTATTACTACAAGGTTTCGGTGCCGACATGATAACAGACAAAGAGGTTAACTGCTCGTACTACTGCGGTGCAGATTTGCCTGTTACGCGTATGTTGTGAAATGAACCCACTGAACGAAAATCAGCATTAAATATCCATATGCTAGTTGTCACAAGAGTACAATATACTATACCTCGACCCATCTTATATGCTATAGTATGTAATATTGCTTAAACAACTATATGCATGCATCTAATGTTATGTATTTATATTTTGCCTCTTTGATCATTTAAGATATAACTTGAACGTTTTTGTGGTTAGAGGAATGTATCTTTAAATTTATCAAGATTGATCTCCAACTCTTGAGGTCAATGTGAATTTAACTAAGAGCAAAACACAAGTAACGCTTATTAATTATTAAAAGGACAGTTCGATGTACAAAATATTCATATTCACACAGGATCGGGAAAGGAATATATATCTCAAAAAGTGTGATGTTAACGGCTTACTCTCTATGCAAGCTTTAGATGCTATTTCCACTACTAACCTTTTAATTTAGCTGTTAGAAAACATATGTAGTTCTATTATGATTTTTATAGTCAAAGCAGAATATATTGAAGTTGGATTAGGAAAGAACAATAAGCTGCGGACAAAGTAAGTCCTAGTAATTCATAGTTGTCCCATGACTTAATGCACAACTTACGAGGTAGCCAACAAAGAGTCAGATTCTCAGAGTCGGCTGAGTCACCAATGGATAAGCCTACGTCCAAAACAAGATCCTCACCACACACGTATTTTACCATACTGCTT